GTCCAATTGCCCTAGCCACCAATGTGGGATATAGGGACAATGATCCTATAATTCCACCCTTGAGCATTGTAACCTCGGTTATGTGGTTAGGGCCTGGCCAATAGTTATTATAAATCATATAATGTTCCACCCACAGTAAATGAATTAAGTTTCAGGTGAAGAGCATTCCTGTTCTGGGTGTAGTGTAGTTCCCCCACTAGGGTGCCAATCGTCTATTGACACACCCATGATTTATGCATATGCTTTCTCTGTATGTAAAATGCCCTCATCGGCCCCTCTACCTTGTGAATGTGGGAATCTAACTGTATGTGTGAGAGGAGGTATGTTTTGGAAGTTAACATTTTCTTAAATGAAAATGTATTTCCAATAATACTTGCCTTATCTCGCACTCTCATGCCCTTCCTCCTCACTAAGAGCCGGTATAAGAGACTGGGATTGAGTAGCCCTAAAAAAAGTAATAACATTACCTGAATGAGGTGCTTATATACAGTACCAGGAAAAGAGGGTGCATTGATGTAGGTGGAGAGTGTCATGAGACAAATATTGCTAAGGACAATTAAGTGGATTATAAAAGACTAGAGCAAGCAAGAAAAAATCAGATCAATGCTTAGATGGGCAAAGGAATAAACCCTGACATTTGAGTAATAGCTGTAAGTGTGAGATGAGGTATTATTGGAAATACATTTTCAATTTAAGAAAATGCTAACTTTAAGAAGAACATTATTTATTTTAGCTTTTAAAAGTGATATGAACCATTAATTTAGATTCAACATCTAAACTCTCACCTTAAAGTTTATGGTGGTCTTGCAAAAGACAAAACTGAAAAACCTTTGGAAGACATGCTCCACTGTTGAATTAAAATAATTATTTAAAGGTTCAAATTAAGAGTTGTTTTGGTTTATTTATTTAACAATAAACTGACAAAAGAGAAATGATAGTTATGTAAAAGTTTAATTTAGTTACTGAAAAGATTGAAATGTCCAGTAATTTCGTAAAGTCAAAAGTGTTAAAACCGTGTTATTTACCATTCACAATTCACTTTTACAGATATCTGAAATAAAGAACTGCTTAAATATGGGTAGTAAATCTTCACCTCTAATTACTGTACATTCCAGTTGGAAGGGTGCATAATTACGGGAAATCGAGTCTCCTGTATAAGTGGAATGTTTTCATATTCATTTGTAGATTTTAAAAAATTTAGATGCACAAAAGTAAATTGTGTTCTTTAATGATTATATAATAAAAAACAAACTGTGACAGCCAAAGCAAATTGAGGTTTATTCAAGTCATGAATGGCTAATGTCAGCAATTCCCAAATTTTTTGGAAATGGAACACTTTTCATGTGAGAAAAAGCTTATGGAACACTAGACACATGAAATATCAGGGTAGAGGGTATGTTGTGTGCACAGCGCCCTCTAAATTTGTATATTCATTTATTTATTTAATCAAATTACATGTTAATGAATTTTTATATTTTTATGCTTATAATATATTTTAGGTACAAACCTCTCCACTGTAGAATAGATATGGCATCTTCTATAATTCTAATACATAGGAAAATATTTCATAATAAGTTATGATCATAGAAAAAGTGTTAAATGTTTTATTAAAATCATGATTTTCTCACGGAACACCTATCAATCTTGGATAAAACACCGGTGTTCCATGGAACATAGTTTAGGAAATGCTGGTTTATGTTATTCCAGCACGCATTCAATTATTAGGTCAGACGAGTTGTAGTTGATTTTCTTTTGATAACAACACAACATGTAAATGCTTCAAGAAATTATTTATTAAGCTACATTTACAGTAAGTAGTACATGTAAACTAACAATTAATATCAATGACTAGCTTAGCCATATATATATTTTCACTCACTAATCATTGTTTTATTAATCTTTCTTGTAAACTGCAATTACAATTATTCACACCTATGGTGTTAACTCAAAAAGTATACCAATTAAAGAAAGTTAAATCAGTAGGTAGTTCACAATTTCCATTTAATTTATTCAAAATAGTATAAGAAAGGCTAACATATAATACTGGTCAAGATTGATATAGCTGTTATTTGGAAAGTTTTATCTGCCTTGCAAGGGAAAGTTTATAAAATACATAAACAAAAGTTCAACAGACCATGTCCGAGATATGTTAAACATTTTCTTTTGCACAATAATTTTTTTAGCATCAATTAAGAAAAAACATTCACATCTTTTCATATTTCAGAGATTACCTTCTTTTAGTTACATCTGTTTCAAATATAAATTTCTTAGAAAATTTGGGCAGTGGACAGTAATTTCTTAAATTCGAATCAAGCAAAGGACAATAGAAAATGCATTAGTAAAAATGAGCATTATTACAACAATTCATCAATCATATGTGTACAAACCACTACACACAATTCTTGTACAATACAATATGGAAATTATGTGTAATTATTAATGAAACCCCCACTTTACTTTGGAGATGGACGGGTTAAGTACTAGTTTACTTGCCATGTTGCCTATTCAAAAGAAGCTACAAGCTTACAACTACAAATCTTGAAGTGGATCTCATTTTATTTTTATTTAATAAAGCAGTTTTGTTTTTTTCACGAGACACTACCAGATCATGCCGTATTGCTTATTATAAGATGTTCCTGTTCACAAGTAAGGATTGTAAAATCAAAAGATTTCAACTATAAAACTTTAATGGAATGCAGGAGATTGACCCCCAATGTAGAAACTGAATTTAATTAAGATAATTCATGTGATAAAAACAGTGATAACTTTCTTACATAAGTAGAGCTTGTAATAAAAGAAATATAATTAAATACCAGTGCATTAATACTTAAAATGAAAATTTATTACAGCACTTTCACTAATATACTGGTTTTTCTTAGCTACTTAAGATGCCCTTTAATGTAAAGGAGTAGGTCATGGATTTTGAAATATCTAAACATCCAAGAAAAGGTCAAAATAACCTTCATTTTCATTACTCCATAATTCTGTACTAACAAGGAGAATTACAATGTATTAATGATTAAATAAAAGATAAAAAAATTACAAACACTTCTATTAATATGCATTTCAGCAAATCTTATTACTGGTTCTGTTGATAGTATAGAACAAATCAATAGCCTAAGCATTAAGATGAAATGTTTTTAACACTCATGACTGGAGGAACTTAGTTATTTGTACATGATATCAGATATGTCCAATTGAAGATCAGAAATACTAAAGCAACTATTGATACTGATCAAACACTTGTTTACTAAGCTACGTTTTGTGGGATCTAGGAATGATAGATACAAGTGGCAGTTATTAAAATCTCTGAAGAAGGTCAGGACTTTTGTCAAATCTAAACATTTCACCCCCCCCCCCTTTCACTAATAAAAAATTAATTGAGGTAAGATGATATTATGTAACAGACAGTAGCTTAACACTATAGTTTTCTACTTTTGCTCAAGAAAAACATTAAATTGAGCTTCCTCAGAACAAAAGTTAACCTATAAAACCACAGTAAAATATAAAAGTTACTTACCCTAAGTACAAATACCAAATACTTTTAAGAATATGAGTATATAAACAATCACTAGAAACACTGGTCAGGAAAAAACATATAACAACGGAAGCATAATATAACATCAATTCCCTAGCCTAAAATAATTCCATTAAACTTCCCAATCGATTGAAGGAATGTGTAATCTATTATATGATTTTTTATGTTAAATTCAAAAGGAAGAGTAAGCAGTTAGATTTTATCACTTCCCACACATGATACTTAATGTATAATTTTCTGTGAAAAATTACACAAACAAAACCACCATTCCAATATTTGGCACAATGTTAAAATTATTATTATATTCTAAATTTTTAAATAGCACAATTCTAATTCTTTATCTGATAATTTTATTTGGAATACTTTAACATGAGCAAAAAAGTAGAATGAAAACAGTACTAAGTGTTTCAAACAAAAAGCTTAACATTCATTTCATACGAGTTACATTTTTTCAAGTCACAAAACTGCAGTCATTCACACAAGAAAAGTTTTTCATGTATAACGTTAATTTGAAAAGAAAGAATTAATAAAAAACAGAAATATTATGAGCTGTCAAAAGTAAAAAAAAAAATCACAATTATGTAACACGCATTAAAATTGACAAAAGCTTTTGAAATCACTTTTCTCACTGAAAATTAATTATCTAATAGAAAAAATAACTTGTGTAATTTCACATAAGAATTGAACAGAATAAATCATTAAAATATATGCAAGTTACTAACTAAGGAAAGCTATTTAGATATAATACTTTACTTTCTGCAATGATTGTTGCTATCCAGGGGGAACACCCTAAAAGAATCCCAGATGTCAACATAACACCTTAATGGTTAGCTGCCCAAAATCTCTACAAATACTCATCATAAACAAAAATTAATGAAAATGAGACACACCCACTTAGGTCCAAAGTTGTAAGAATTGTTAAAAAAAATTATAAAAACTATATTTGTTATATGTGGAAGGTATTCAATCCTTTATTGGGTAAGCCTAAATTACATATAGTTTAGCATAGTAATTAAACTAGAAATGCTATTCTGTAAATTACAATTCTGTAGGACAGACAATAACTTAAGTTTCAAATATTCAACAAATTACACATTTCTATTAATACTATTTAATTACACTCAAACCGCATTATTCAAAAGTGCAAGTACACAACAAAAATTTCCTCTACTATTAAATATGTCCTTAACAAACTTGTACCGAAACTCCTACTCTGATTCTGAATCACTGTCATCAAATCCTGATAAGTCCACATCCTGCAAAAGACCACGACTCAATGCATACTCTAAAAGAGCTAGATGACAAAAGACGTACTGATCTGGCATTTGGATACTGTGAGCTCGTTGGAAACGAATTCTCTCTACTGTTCCTCTGACATTAATTGTTCCTGTAGCTTCCAACTGCTGAATGCTGCTATCTAATGTGATAAAAGTACCTGGAAACCAGAAGAAAAAAAAAGGACACAGCAATGACACCAGGTATAAAAATCCATTAAGTAATTATTGAATATGGAAAACTAAGCACCATTACCGAAAAAAAGCTAACTTTCCAATAATATAGTAAGGAGAAAATGAGATTAACAATGAACAAGGTTCTAAAGAGTAGAAACCAACATGCAAAAAGTTTACAAAAGTACCATAACAGAACTGATAAGAACTGTTCTAATGCAGTAATCTTTAACTTTGAAAACAGTAGATACTACACAGAGCTACTATATTATTTTGAACATCTTTCTGAATGCCACATATCAAAGACATGTTTTCCACTGATAAAATAATGATAATATAATTATTCCTTGAGAATATTTCATCTTAGGAAGGGGTACATAAGTCATCTGTAAATATGTATCACAATCCTAATCAAATCCAATTAATAATGACAAATATAATTCAATTCAGAAAACAAATTCTAAATAATTACTACCTATTTAAATTTTTCTCCTCCTTACCTTCTTTTTAAAACCCTTTCATAAATTCCCAAATAGACTCATCTTTTTCCTTTCTTTTCTGTTTAATGCATTCATAATCCTTGTTTCTTTTCCTTTGCATATATTCAGAAATGTTCCATAATCTCTCTTTTTCACCTTGCATCTTGTTAATTTCTATTCTCTTGGCTCTTCGCTGTCTTCTGCCATCTCTGAATGTTACCATGTTTAATAAATATTTCTTCTCTCTCAAATGCTGCATCTGCCAAGCTTTTTTTTAATATGTACAATAGGTTGATCATTCAATTTCTCTCCAATTCTATCTTTATTTGCTCTTCTTCAACTTTTGTTTGTATATCTTTTATAAATTATCCAACTTCTTTGGCTTCCATCTCCTTCTAATGCTCCTTTTATCCCCAATCCTCATTTCTTCAACTCTTTTGCAATCTCCATCAAACATCTCTTTGGCAACTTTGTTCTTTCATACACCCAAAAACTCTTAATTCCAATTATTTCCATGTTCGATTATCTGGTTTCCAAACTGTCTGATATTTTGTGGTCTACTCTTATTAATTTCCAGTATCCAATTCATGTGACTCCTCTGCAGCTTCTCAATCTTCACTTCCTTTTTCCACCTCCAAGTTTCTGCTCAATATATTATTACTTAAAGATAAATAAAAAAGATCTGGAATTTAAAAACCTGCAAATAAGGATTTTAAAAAAAGTAAGGAAACAAAGCTGGATATACTGTAGACCTTATTTACTCAAACTACAAACCCCTATTTTGGCTCCATGCTGTTACTTAGTATTACAATTGATGAAGTCAAAATAAGGATTTGTAGTTTGAGTAAATAATGTATACAGTATCTACAGCCTTGTTTCCTTACATTTTTTACAATCCATATATGCAGGTTTTTAAATTCCTAATTTTTTATTTATCTTGTTTGCTGGCTATTTTTTATGCTCAACCATGGGCAAAGGATTACATGATATGGTAGATATAAAACTATAAGACCCCTATAACCTGAGAGCTTTCAAAAGGTGAGCCTTTCTTCTTCAGTTTTAAACCGGGAAAACTTGATATGGTAGCTAACTTTATACATTGTAATGATAATAAACATAGCTAGTAGCTAGCTGCTATGGTTCATAATGATTTTCTGTAGCTATTGACTATTTGATCACATTAGTTTGATATCATAGTGAGTATTTTTAGTTCCTGTGTAACTAAATTATCTATATATAATACATAGAAATGAGCAAATATATACGTATACTAAGACACAACCAAGCATGTATAATATTTTACCACTAGAAATGTAGTAATTATGTAGTAATTATTCTACAAATTTTAATATTGTGTATTGATTATTTTTTTTACTCCTTCACTTCACACATGATATAGGGGTTGGCTCTCTAAAGATGCTGATTGTATAGTGTATAAAGCATTGAGTATTTACATGTTACAGTCATCTAATGTTCATCTATTATTTGCTGGTAATTCCTGTTTCACCCTGTACGTAAGCTTTTTAAAGGAAAACCAAATATTTGTAAGAAAGCTAACTTCACGAGATAATGATAACAATCATTTACACTAGAATTATGATGTTTTTTAACTTATATAAAATATAGAAAAAACAAATCGACTTTTCAGTACCGCTATGACCTTCGCAGTACCTCATTTAGTATTCTACAAAAGGTTTGGATGTAATATATCTTGCTGTTTTTGTTGTAGGCTAGTAAGAGAGTAATAATAAGTACAAATAGGTTTTTTAGGAGATTTTCTTGTCCTTGTAAGTCTTTTTTGTTTGTGCATTTTTATATGTGTACAGCCTTAGCAGTCAATAGTAAAGGTTTTAAAGTGTTGTTTAAATGGAATATTTACTGTTTAAGGTGCTTTTGCCTTAATGTTCTATTAGAGTTTCTATTATGAACTACTATCATGGTTCATGATGCAATCAGCATTTCACAAAGTTAAATCTTTTTCAATACACCTTTCACTCTCATTTTTTAGTTCGTGGTGCATTGACTTCTCCTTGGGTCTTTGCTCACTGTTGTTTAGTCTGCTCATTTGATATATTTCAACTTGAGAACCAATATCACAAGTATTTGTATTTATTTCAAATATTAATTTCTTGATTCTTTCATTGCCATTGCTTACTTCTTTTAATTTTGTAAAATTTCACTATTTTATTTATCCAAGTTCAATGTTAGTTTGTTTCTAAGTACCTTTCCAACTTCTTAAGCATATCTTTGAGGTCGCCTTTCAGCTGCTATCATCACTGTAGTATTTGTAAATTTCAAACAGTAAATCTAACTTCTTCCAATCACGGAACTTCTGCTAACTTCACCAACCACGCTTCCTCCAAATAATGTATTTATTTTTAATAAAGTTTCTTCGTGTGTTTAAACATGAATACAATTAATACTATTTGTAATAAATAAATACTTTTTGGTGGATATAGCAAGAAGACTACAGAGAAAACAAGTCATCAGATGGCTTTCTGTTCAATTTGGCTACCATACACACCAACAATAATCTAAGTCTTTAATTTGATGTGATAGTTGAACAAAAGCATCCAGTATTAAACATAGCTGTCTGATGAAATCTATCAAGTTTATCACATAGTAGGTGCTCTAGTGTGCACAACAGATTTTAGATATTCCCTTATCTAAAAATAAAGTGGGTCATCCAACACCATGTTAAATACAGTCAGGCTCATTTGGATATCCACCTCATCATCACTAGAATGCAGGATAACTGGTGTTCAAATACATTAACAAACGTAATAAGAACCCTGTATACAAATCAAATGTAAAACTGAACTCCACAGGCATCCTTGACTGACTCTTTCTTGAGTCTGAAATATTTTACTTCATCTTCTTCTCATCTTTACTATATTTTGTTTTTCCCTTCTATCATTTTCAACATTCTTTCACTGATCATAATTTTATGCAATCTTCCAAATTAACTTTTTTTTTCTGTTCACTGTGTCAAATGCTAGCTATCAGACTATGAAGAAGGTACACAACTTCCTACTTTTCTTTTATAACTTATTTTTTATAAGTTTATTCAGGGTGAGGATGTTATCTCATATGAAATATTCTTTCCTTAAACCAACTTGGTTTTTATGTAATTTTCTTCCAACCATTTCCTTAACTTTCTTCTATTATCCCACTTAAAATTTTATACAATAAATTTAGCAGCGTAATTCATCTATAGTTTTTGTCATCTTCTTCATTTCCTGCCTTCTATGTAGGATATATTTCTCCTCTTCTCTCGATATAGGGATGTTATAATCATTCTTCTTTTTTTCCAAAGTTTTCTCTCATTTCCTCTGCACTTGCTTTATAAAATTTGTATAATTCTTTATCTTTGCCAATGCTCTTTTTCTTTTACTCTCTTAACCATTTTCTTATCAAAATTCTTGCATATTTTTACATATTCCTGTCCACTCTAAATTTTTTTTGTCTTTTTAAAACACCTCCATAAAACGTTTTTTCTAATATTTAATTTCACTCATCTTGTCAATTTTAAATTTCCCTTGTTTGTTTAACCCTTCCTTATCATGTTACTTTTGTTGCATAACTTATTAAAGTCTATTCTAGCTTGTACTTATCTATCTTCTTCTTCTTTTTCCAATGTCTTCCTACAACAGATAAAATATTTTTTTTTACCAAACTTTCTTCCTCATTATATTTTTTATTAAACCAGCATTTCACTTTCACTCTTCTTTCTTTTCATTTCAATCTCTTCCGCAGCCCCTATTTATATTTCATTTAGTGTTCAAATACTTCTTTGTTCATAACTTCTCAATGCTTTATAAAAAGAAAGTGCTTCTTCTTTCCTTCAATCCTCTTCCACCTTTCTCTCTGTATGTTTCATGTCTTTTCCTTTCATGTTATTTTCACAATGATTAGTAGATGATCTCATTCAATTCTCTCTTCTATCTTAAACCCTTCTATTAAAGTCTCTTCCTCTTGAAACTACATAATCCATTAACTCTCTAACTACAAACTCAGTCCCAGGGATCAACCTTGTAACCATTTTGTGCTTGTTATAGCTTTCATATGATAACTTTTAATACAGTATGCTTATCTTTATGAAATTTTGCAGATTATCAGTAAATGTTAAAAGGCTCTGGTACACAAAATATCAGATTTTTTTGTTAATTTTTAAGATTTTTAAGTTATGATTTGCTTGTCCATTTTTTCTTTTCCAATGTTGACTACCCAGTATGCAAAGAAAATTTAATGTTAAGATTAAAAATACTTTTATGCATCATAAAATTGTCAAATTCCCATGCAAAATCTTTATAACCTCCTAACAATCTCCATATAATTATCAAACATTTAGTTATATAAAAAACTTTATATTTTACTTGTTATTTTCACCATTGTATCTCTGTATGAGTTTGGTCAATTTGACAAACCTTATAGGAAATTGATATAAATTATGCTTTTATGTTCTAAAATGATGACAAATTATAACACAAAAACACAAATGTTTAGTCTAAATAGCTTAAAACTCATAACATTATACATATTATATATATTTATTTATTATTTGTATTTTATTGACCTTTCAGCTGTGTTTGACTAACATTACAGAAGCTGCAATGATGCAGCACATGTGCACTCATGTTACTATATCCAGTAGTATAAAACATGCTTTTACAAAGTGACCTGTTTTGGCTTTGTTCTAATGGACCAGTATTTTGTAAAATACAGTCACATTTCAGTTATAATACATTACATATGTATATATATTGTTATTATTTACAAATAAGTTCTTAAATTCCAGTTAATTTTCTTCCAACATAGAACACTGAAAAATTAAATGTAGAAAACAAAGATCTCTACTACTTATGATTGTAAAGAAGTTTGTACTTGCTTGCTGTACCTTGCATGCTAAGCCTTGCCAAATTTCACACATGAAGGATGTAAAACAAAATAACTTTTTAGGTTTTGTATACGCTTTTTGAAATAACAAAAAATTATAAATTACTCTGTCGATATCACAGAATTCCACTGTAATTTATCAAGCTTACTAACTAAACTGTATTTGGGTCTAAAAAAAAAGTTTTTCAAACAACATTTTCACTCACTCCTTGATTCCAAGATTCAAAAGAAATACTCTAAGGAACTTCCACCTTGGTTATAAGCACACAATTGAGAGAAGCAGGTGTATAAGGAAGTATTTCAAAAGATGGAGAAGTGGGCAACATATTCTAGCTTGTCAATATCAGTAATTTGAGTTCCTAATTCATAAGAAACTATAGACTTGTATTTGGACATCACAAATATATAATTTGAACAAAAGCTGCATTCAACATACCACATGACACACAAAAATCGATATTTACAATTTTTTTTAACGTTCACTTTTAAATTAAGAAATTAAAAATAATGTATAATACTAAAACTTGAATTATAATCTACAATTTGATACCAAATATACTGACATACATTCATAAAATAGTAGTTCAATAAAATTTTGAATGTAAGTCTACAAACTTGGTGATATGCTCTTTGACCTTTGACCATATGAAAACTCTTAGTGATAGGGTTAACTGTTTCTTACTTGTTCACCTAATTTTATTTAGATTTCCCTTACCTACTTTATTTATCATAATTTTACTCTTTGCCTCCCCACTTTCTATTCTTTCTACCTTTCATATTAAAATCTTCCACTATTGTCAAGTTGTATCTTCTCTTACACTGCCTTGCAAAGTTTCACCATACCCTCATTGTTATACAATGTCTTTGTATCTCCATCTTGTTTTCCTGTTTTGCATTATAATTTTATATTTCCTCTTTAGTCAATTCTTTTTTAGCACATTCCTGCTTGACAGACAGAATGCCATTGATTTTTACCCATCAAACTTAAAAAATCATTTCAAAATCATTCTGTGCTTAGTTAAAAAAAAAATATGCACATATCTGTTCAGTGTTCTCAATAATCAGCAAAAAACCAAAAACATGACAGTAAGCTAACTTATTTCTTCTAAAAGATCTTAAAAAGTAATCTCAAGTTAAAAAAAATAAAGGGTTTGGTTTAAGAGGTAAAACTGTCCCATATGTAATGATATGGCTAGCTGATTTCTTCTTTATTCACAGCATCATTAAGATCATTCCTTACTAATGCAACAATGCCAAACTTTCTGTTTAACTTCATAATATAGCTATAGATCATGGAGAGAAAGTAGTATAGCTCAATTAGGTTTTTATCTTTACAATAAAAATGTATTGAGCAAGCCTTCATTTCACAATCAGTCTGTCTATGTCCGTATACAATATTGTTGACAAAACTATAAACATTCCTCAACTACTACAACTATCTATATTATATTGTGCCTCAGTACTGTTGCAAGGAAAGAAGATTTATTATTATTTTCATAACAGTGTGCATTCACCACAGCCCTTTCTACACCCTGTTCTCATTATGTGCAAGTCAGCCTGCAGGTGGCTTCAAAAAGAAGTTGTAAGCTTTCTCAATAAATATTAAACGTGAAGATAAATATTTCATTGATTTATTAGAACTTATTACTGCAAAAGCTTATTCTTTTTTCTTCTTTTTATAAAATTTAAATAATTTTGAGTGGGTCCTATGGGACCTGGGACAACGTGCCTGCTTACTCCACTTATTCCTACATCACTATAAGCAATATTCCTAGTACTACTTTCACAACAAGTAAACTAAGAGTACACAAAATCCATAACAGTATGGCCAGATACTGACCAGTTTTAATTTTTCACTGTTTTTAAATTTCAGATATTATAAAGTCAGTTAGTAACAATAACTGAAAACATTTTAGAGAATCATGGGATCTTAATTGTTTTTATAATTTTTATGCAAAGCTATACAAGAGCTATCTGTGAATTGTTGTCCCTAATTTTGAATTGCTAAGTATGCAGAGAAGGCATGCAGTCAACACCACCCATAAACAAAAGACTTTTTGTCTACATGTGTCTGATCAAATAGTGCAACTTGATCATCACTTGTAGTGCTCTGACAGTTACAAATGGCAGATCTTACTTTTATGGTGTAAACCATGAAACTTTATATCCACAGTTCAAACACACCATACACTAGGCCATGTCTGACCCAGGGAACTTAATTAATAGAAAAATATGTCAACTTTCCCAATAAGTTAACTATGTTTTAATGTTGTTTCAAAGACGATATTCTGCTTGAAACAATAAGTGAGAAGTGAGGGATGTGGTTTTAAATAAGAATTAATTTTTAAGGATGAGAATTTCCAGACAAACAGCAGATTTCTGACATGAATGTTGCCCAAAGTTTTTCAAGAGACTTTCAACAATCTTATTAATAGGTTTTCCTCATTTTACAGAAGTGAGTGTTTACAGCTTAGGTTTTTATGAACAAAGAAATTCATTGAAATTTTGCATGATAGTTTATTTAAGAATGAAATAAATTTAAAAAATTGAAAAGGTTACAATTGGCATGATTAAATAAGGGATAGAGAAATTGATGGTTGAGTAAAAACAAATTCAGGTGGGACTAGTTGGAGAAAGAACATGAAATTACATTTGTTATTGGGAGTAAACACAAGAAGTGAGGAGTGATATCAAAACTGGGAGAATTCATTTTATAAAAAAAAGTTGGTTTACCAGCTTTATGCACAATATGCAACAATCTTATAAACTATGCTTCACAGGATTGCTTTACAATTTGGACACATGTAACTATTAAAAAGCATATGGAACTGTGAAATGACAATTAAACCAAACTTGTCTAATTTACTGGAAAATGTAAAGATATATGTAAAAAAAATAAGAGAATACATCAGAGAGATTCTAATTTTCAAATTTTTTCAAGGAAGAATGCTCCTGGATCCCCTAGTATACAAAGTTACCCAGCATTTCACTCAAAATATTTCACTTTTTTTTCTTTTGCCCATTCTCATCCCTGAATTTCACAAATTTTAGTTTAAGATTTAAACACAACATTATGAAACACCATATTTATAATGAAGCTATGTGTCATGTGACACACATAATCATAGCATATCTTTTATATCATTCAGTTATATAGTCTTGAGGACTATTGTATGATATTCATGAACTGCAACATCAGCCACATATATATTAATGTCATTTCTAAACAACTTTAGCTGGAATTTATTATTCAGCCAATTCTATGAATAGCACAGTGAATCATGGTTAGATTCTACTGTGTGACAAAGAAAACCTTCTAAAATTAAGCAAATTTTAATACAGTGTGAGTCAAAGCGATTTTTAGATGCATTAATATATTTTATCTTACCTGTTCTTCCAATTCCAGCACTACAGTGAACAATTATTGGTGGGCCTAAAGGATGTCCTTTCCACTCAGATCCTAAAACTTGGAGGGCTTGAACTTGTTGCTCTCTCACTTTGTCACAGAAAGTTAGCATGGCCAAAGCTGAGTGAGGCACACCATAATCAGGCCAGCTGATGAACTGCATATGAACCACAACTCGACTGATGTCTGTCTGTACAATAAATAATACATAAAGATATAAAGTTGCATTACATAAACTTGAAACTGAACTTATAAACAATGAATAAAAAATATGCAAAACTAAAGAATATTTCAGTTGTTTATAAAATATTATTTACAGTAATCAGAGTATTTTGTTATAAGTTCACAATCCATACAAGTACTCAACCAATATCAAATTATAAAAAAACATGTTCTACTGATACACCAAAATGTCATGTAGTTTTGTATACACGTATCAGCTGCTTCTATGATTAAGTTATTGTGAAGACAAACCAAAACCTCACTTATTAACTATTTGATTAGCTATTTTCCCACTAATTGTTTTCATCACCACAATCAACTACTAACAGAAATATAACTCATAATAAATTTACAGATATATGCTTGTTCACCAATAAAATATTATGGAAAGAGGGCAGAATATGGAAGTTCCCCATTCAAAGAATAATAAAAAACTATATAAAAAATAAAATTGTAAACATTTCATGCTCATTGTCAGTTTAATGTTTTTTGTTGAGATCCAATTTTATTTCGTTGTATTTAAAAATCCATTGCCTTTTATCAATAACCTCTTTAAAAGTAGAATCCAAAAATTTCATATCTATTGCATATAAACAAGATTTTTCAGGCACAGAATATTAAATCAATGAATTCTCATTAATATGCTTGGAATCTCTAAATTAACTGCAAATCAATCTACAAAACCAGAACCCATAACAAACTGTTGAAACACCATGTTCATGTTAAGCATCTGCTAAAGCAAAAAGAGCTAACAATATTGTAAAATAACAAGATTTGAATGAAAATAACGATATTAATAACAGTAATCGTGAAGTGTCTTCCTGAAAATAACAGTGAAATTCATTACTAACAAATAAACCAGTTTTGCCATATTATTGTTGACCTATTGATCATCCTAAGATAAAATTAAAATCTAGTTCTATGTATTATATTTCTATCAATAACAGTTTTACAATTTACTCTTAACACTTACAGAAAGTGATACTATTACAAACATAATTAAAAAATTTCAAACTTATAAACATCTTTTTTCAAAGAATACTTGTTTACCTCAAAGTAAATTACAGATATCTAAATCACAAATTACCTTTAGGTTTGTAAGAACCAGCTGTGTGACCACATAATCTTTGAAGTGCTCAACACCATTGTTGAAGATGTGGAATTCACCATACTCAGCACTGCTTTCCTTCTGTTTAGGCCAATACTGACCACACTTTGCTCTGCTGCGTTCAATTGTGCGTGTTGTCATAACAATTAATAAAACTTCTTGTTCCCAAACCATCTGCCAGAAATCTGGAAATGTCTTTGGCAAAGGTCCTATAGAAGAAGAAAGACAAGTATTATCTACTAGTAAAGAGATTTGAAATGTCTATAACACAAGCTAGCCACTACTGAAAACTTTTGCCTTGCACATTTTTTTGCTTATGATTATTTTTAACACCCTACATATGTCAATCATTTTAGTTATAATTTATTTTAAGATAAAATAAATATGAATAGAAACATTAATACTAATTCCCTAAAAAATATGAAAGATACCAATTTTATGACTTTTTTTTTTAATTTCAGATCATTTAATAAACACTTGTTACTAAGTTCAATAGTAAAAGCTTTAATTTTATGTGTTATGTTACTACATCAGCAAATTCAACTTTATTTGATTGTATAAACTGTTTTGCAGACAAAATAAACAATATTACAAAAAAAAAGGAAGAGGAACATAAATGGCTAAAATATACAAACCCACAGTAAAATTGTGGTGACTAGATAGTAATCACCATGGTTAGAAGCCTATAGAATATCCTAAATCTAATTACACACACAACTCATATACCACAGGAGTTTTCAGAATTTGGTTTGGTTTGTTTTGAATTTCACACAAAGCTACACAAGGGCTATCTGCACTAACCATCCCTAATTTAACAGTGAAACACTAGAGGGAAGGCAGCTAGTCATCACCACCTACCACCAACTCTTGGGCAAATCAAATAGTGGGATTGACCATCACTTTATAATTCCCCCATGGCTGAAAGGGCGAGCATGTTTGGTGGGACGGGGATTGAAGCTCGTAACCCTCAGGTTGGGAGTCAAGTGTCCTAACCACCTGAACATGCACTATCAATGCCTGTGAAAAATAAGCCAAAAGTTCACACAAATCTATAATTGGGAATTATTACTTTAATAATTATTAATTATTATCATTTTCCTAATAAATTAAATTTATAATTTAATTATTTATGCATTTCCCTTGATAGGTTACAAAGTAACTATGTAGTTATAGATACAACATGCAAGACCCCAACATCGTCATAAACTAGGGGTGTTAGATTCAGTTTTCGTATTAAACATTTTAAAAAAATGTTTAAACATTAGTATATCAATTGAAAAAGTATTATTACTTACTTGTACAAATAACTTTTTATATATCAATGAACACAGCGTGGTCACAAGTAAATAGACACCACCTTTACAGAAAAAAATGAAATTTTTCAGTCATATTCACAGGAATTGATATATTTATAATTTAATATATATCTACTAGATCTTCCTTTCGCTTCATGGATCCTTTGGGGCATCGTGAGAATCATCTTGTCAATTTTAGATTGTGGGATTGTCGCCCATTCTTGCTTCAAAACTTGGAGTAGATCGCTCTTCGAAGTTGGTTTTTTTAGTTTTTTCTTGATTTGCTGGTCGAATATGGCCCAGAGGTTTTCAATGGGGTTCATGTCAGGAGATTGGCTCGGCCAGGGCAACTTCTGGATACCATTTTCTTCCTGCCACTTTTAGGTGTTTCTAGCAGTGTGACACGATGCTCCATCTTCCTGGAACAATGTTGTGTTCTTGTCCATGAAACCTGAGGATTAAAGTGGCAAGAGCCCTTCCTCCAATATCTCGACGTATTTCGCAAAATTTATGTTGCCAATTCACTCCACTAAGCTCAATCTCCCACCAACCCAAACAGCTCCCCAAACCATCACGCTGAAACCACCATGCTTCACAGTTAGCTGCAATCTGTTGAGCCAAAACTCTTGGTGAGGCATTCTCCAGACCAATATCCTTCCACTGTCCAAAAATTGAGCGAATCTTGATTCGTCTGAGAACAATACAGTCTTCCAAAAGTCCAGAGGCTTGGTCATCATATCACTTGCGCACTTCTTTCATCTGACTATGTTGGCAGGTCTTAATAAGGATTTCCGTCTAGCTGCTCTGCAATGATAACCAATCTGTGGAGAATCCGTTGAACAGATTTCGGGCTCATCCCACCAACTTTGGCCACTTCTGCAGTCGTTAATCTGGGATCCATTTCGATGCTCCTCTTGACAGCCCTTTTTGTCCTCTCCGATGGACCAGGATGACCCGGACGCTGCTCAGTTGTTTCCTTGCCATGTTTCCTGAACTGCACAATGATTCAGTTGCCTGTCGAAAGCGGGATTCCCAAATTCTGCGAAATTTGCCACTGACTTATTCCACCATCTGCTTGACCAACTATCCTTCCTCTAAC